TGGCCTGTTTAAAACTCAGAATTGCAAGAAGGCTTGGAGACCTATCACACTAACATCTCCTAGATTGTCATCCGGACAGCACCACTCCTCAAGATATTAGTAGGTATTGAACAACAGAAGAGATTCTATACACAAGGGAAAATGCTAGATTAAACAAATAAAACAGAATGTTGGTTTGGTTTTAGCTACAGGACTACTCAGGGCTTTCAATGCGCTAACATGAGACCAGGTTTTTTACATCTTACCTATTAATCTTTCCAGAACTTTCTGTTCACAGAAAAAAGACTGGAACAATGCATCTCAAAGTGTGGTCTACAAACTACCTGGAAACTATCACTGATCCTTAAGGAGATAGATACAAAACCTGAGACTAAACATTTAAAGTTACTACAAGTACTTTGGCATTGCCACAACATCCGAAGCTGCAATCAGAGGACTCACTGGACAATAGAACAGCGGAGGTGTTGCAAATTGCATGGCAGGGGGCATCATCGTAGATCTGCCAAATGCTGAAAAGCAGCAAAGGTGCTGAGTTAGCTAAGGCGTTTCAGCCTTTCTACTTTCCCCTCTATTTCTCACTGAGGCTTGAAGCTTCAAGAGAACAAGCAGGTTGGACTTGTCAGTTCAGAAGCCTTTCTGGGTAGAAAGGGCAGCCAGCTGCTTGTCCAGGCAGACAGGATGTGAGTCTTCTCAGGTGAGTCAGAGCTAAAGAGGGAAGGCCTTCCTGCCCAGCTCAGTGAGGGAGTCCACCCTTAGCTTTGGAAAGAGGAAGACTCAGGGAAAAGTCCCAGCAACATCGCTCTTTTCCTGCAGTTTGTTCCAATTTTATATGCCCTCTCGAGTGTTAATATCTGCTGAATTACATTAGCAGTTACCAAGAGGAAAGGAGGCTTTTAAAGAAAGCCAAAAAAAAAAAATTATCATTTAAAGTTGTCACTTTTGGTACAAGCTTTTATTCTAATGATTCTGACATTATTCCAAACATCTTTTTTCACTTTTTTTGGTTTTTTTTCTTTTTTTTTTTTACTTTTTTCCAAACATTT